CTAAGATACAAGGGTCACGCATTACACAGTTTACTGCCAAAACAGCTATTGAGTAATGCCATGAAAAGACCCTTGTATGTACAATAACTCGCGTGTGTCATGTGCATAAGGTGTGTCTTTGGACAAGTGAGAAAGCTTCAATGAGCGAAGGAAAAAAATAATGTTATAATAAGCCACTAGTCACTCTTAGAGGAGACCAAGACTCATTTTGGGATCTAATAAAAATAGAACATGTGGATAATGAATTAAAGCATCATTTCAACTGATTTACTAATGTACCAAAACACACATCTGCGCACACAAACGCGTGACTCAGATGTGTTTTGAAGGACGCGACGCAAAATTTCACAGTAATTTGTGATAATCATGATCCAATTCAGGAAGGCCATCTGTCATGCAAGTAGATGTCATCAATCGCAACTGCTACGCTGTTTTGATTTATACCTTAAAATTATGGTTAAAGAGATTATGAGGGCAATGACCTTAAAGCAAATATATCATCTGATGGCACTGCTAGCTAGTTCATCTATCTATTCTCATCATAGCAAAGTGAACTGTAAAGAGGGTCGACCGATTGGTTTGCGCTAAAGCAAATGAGCCAAAGGAGCATCATCGCAGAGTGCACACCAAATAAGAGCACTGTAATCCTGCTCCAAGTAGAATCACAATGCCAGAATAATACATATTAATCAGAGTTAATTCCATATGGGCGAAAATGAAGTGAAATAACTAAAAAGCACAAACAGATTGGTCATTCGCACAAACTGTGGGAACAACCAATGCAAATCACTAAGACAATCTCTCAAAGGGTAGAAGAGTGAAAAAGGCAACACAAAAAAATACCTAAATAAGTAGTAGTAGCATGCTAATTAAAAGCAAGTGAATTTAACTAGGAAACACCAATGTGCTAAAACTGTAGTAAGAACTGAATAAGAGACATACACTTTTTGACGATAAAGTTGAAAGCCTTGTCGTCAGATGTGACGTCTGTTTCACAAGCCACGACCTCCATATTATCAGGAGGACCAACTTCAACAGCTCCAATAAGTCGTATTTGCTCTGAGTCTGCGTAATACTCTAAAATGCCCTGCCGTAGGACAAAAAAGCGACGTTTCCATGCGCGAAATTTGCCGCCTTGTTTTCGTAACCACCCACTGTGTTGAATCTGTGTGGCTAAACCATTTGAAGTAGGCACACGAACGGAACTCTGGCAGAAGAAATTAAGCAAAAGTTTAATAAAGAAAGAACTTTAAAAACAAATCTCTAACGGCTTGTCAAAAGACAAGCTTTTAATAACAAAAATATACTGAAATGAGTACAAATAAAACGCAGAGAGTTTTCTCCGAAAATATACTATGAGAATAAATGTCTTCATTTGAGTCGAAAGAAATCGGCTACAAGTTAAATAGTTCAGCAAGTAAAAATTAACCACGAACAGAAAAAGATTCTAAAAACGTATTCCCATGGTGGTAGAGCACATAACAATAACATTTAGTACACAAATAAAGCTGCGAAACGAAAGTGCAACAAGCACAGGTTGGTTGCATTACAAGTTTAAGTATTTAAAAGTTTTTAGAGCACATTCCGAAAAAGGCAATTAAATGTCCACAAAAAGTAGTTCTAATGATGGAAGTTATTCAGAAATAAAAGTCGAGCACCAAGTTCGCAAATCGTATAAGAACTTGCACATAGATTGGAGACGAAATGTATAATGACAAATACAGTCGACATAGCGACCCATTAATAAACCTAAACTCTTACGCTTCTTGAGAATTTCCTATTTGACATCGCACCAATCACTAGATGTTGAACATTCCTTTTTCAAACATTGTACATCCTTTCAAGGCGCTTTGCTGACCTTTGTCAATTAAGTAAGTTAAAACAGGGATAGGTAATTTAAACTTTCTCTTTTACAAACATTGCTAATTTTAATAAAATAAATTCAGAAATTTTCATTAAGTACCTGGTGAATAAATTGTGCATTGTTTTGCTTTAAGAAGCATGACTTTTCTTGTAAGGTATTGACATTGGCAACGATGGTACCTTTCACTATGTTGGAAGGCAATGGAGTACAAGGGCGCGATATTCCCTCATAAGTTGAAAATATTGCACAAGCAAATTTTCTTATTCGTTCAAGATCCTCTTCTAGCGGGTTTAATAGGTTGGGCATTATTATTATCTTAGAAAGTGGATTTACTGGGTAGAAGACATTCAGTAATACTGAATACATGTATTTTCAGAAAGAGCAAAGTGATAAGGTCAGACCTTGGTCCAGAAGCCAGTCCACGCGTACAAATGCAAGACGAATCGTAAACTAGCTGCCAGACATCAGGTGGTCAAATAAACAAAGTACTCCGCTGCCCCTCTCTTTTTTGAGCGACGTCATTGGCGTTACTGTTGGTATATCTTCCGCACCAGTGATCACAAAATATTCGGTACCACCAAAAAGCACTCACAAGCCAACCGCGCCAGTTAACAGCTACCATGAGACTAAGGCCTACTTCTTGGTCTCTCCAGTAGCCCCAACTGGACCTTGAGTTGCGTTCGATCTGACAGCCAGAATCGGGTCCGCATACATTTACCGACAATCAAGATGGTGGGACTTTTATCTGATACAGATGTGTTACGGGAAAAAAATGGATCGGGCACAATTCCGTATATAGGAGGATCCGTAATGTCATTACCAACACCTATACACGGGGGTAGTAGGGGGAATTCTGACACAACTTTGCCAGATGGTCTACGACGGTTTCGCTTCAGTTTTGAATCGCTTGTCTGTAAAACACGGGACATGGTGGAGCTAAACTCAAACGTTAATCTCAACCTTGTGTTGTAAATCATTCAGAGATTCTACCACCACGGATATAACTGCACCTCCCCCATACTGTAGGTATGTGCCACAAATAGCAGGTAATGGGATAGAAGTAGTTAAAAATGTCGAATTCACTTCCCGCTGCCAGGAATGTAGCGTCCCGAAACTTCCCATCGAGTTGAAGAGGGCAATAATTGGAGCTAAATACAGGTATTGCAGGGAAAACAAATGGATAAGGTCTGAGCTTGGCTTGAATGTGAGCCCTCGAGTAAATTGGCCAGACTAATATTAAAGTAACTGTTGTCTTGCTTTTGTTGCGTGGACTGACCTAGGATAGGAAGGCAGACCTGATTTTACCCTTCCTGTTTGGATTAGATTATTAAGCCATGCCCATTATCTTCTGTAACCGACCAGAAGTGTGGGAACTTGCACCGTGCAATGTTGACTTTTCCTAAGACTTATTGAGGTATAGGTGACATCGTAACTGGTTGAATACACGCATCCGTATAAATGCAAAAGGGATGGGGCTTTGGATTGGCCCCAAGTCCATTCCACCTGACTGACTCACTATGGCTGCCAAAGTGATAGCCACTCATGCAACAATCAAACCAAAAAGCATTACAGTATGCGAATTTATTGTATTTCAAAGACCTATTTATGCTATCATTTTCTGACAATTACTTCTAGCCGATTACAAGGCCGGTGTTCTGTTGCTTAAGCATACTTTTAAGGAAGGATAGGACAAAGCACCTCGAAATTTGTACGACACCCGAGTTCAGAATCCTCGAAGCAGAGAAGAGTTAAGCATTCTGATGTCCCTAGACATACGTTGCATCTTGTCAACTAATTGCTAAACGTAGCCCTATCCATTCAGCCTATTTATTTAATCTGGTTGCATCCCAGAGAGCAGGATGCAGGCAAGGAAAGAGTGATGAACCTTCCATACAAATGACATCTTTAATGTTTTTATGTAGAGATGGTAAACCATACAACTGATAAGGAGAGGGCTAAGTAACTCAGGGTTTAAAGCTAAGTCTTGATCGAAAAGTAAGCACATTCGTCTTTGAAGACAAAGTCTTTTGTTGCATTCCAAGCTACTAAGCACGTTTGACTTCTAAGTCCGAAAGCATTCAGTACATCGTTTGTACTTGGAGCAAAGGAGCACTTGTTAACCTGTTATTATGCCCTACAGCATTTGGCTTCGATAGTAGCAGACTTTTACCTAAATAGGCATCCTATCTCTAAAGTCACAAACACTTGAGAGTTGACCTGCCTTACAGAAAAATTCACCAGTGAATTGAGTTCATTTGGTTTGTAATCGAATTGGAAATGATGTAATTCAATTTGATACCCAATCTCGTGAAAATCAAAGCTCCATTTTATTTACGTTAACGTTCATTCTTAATGGAAGCAACGCTTATGTTTTGCATAAAGAAGAAAACATCTTTTACTTTTTTATATATTATGACAGATCCTCTGTGTTATAGAATTGGCTGCATCTTGAAAAACAAATCTATAAACCATAGTGCGTAATCATCACCGAATGTAAAGGGACTAAAGCACTGGGACTTAATTTGGAATGAGGGAAAGATCTGCATTGGTAATTGAACGTAGCTAGAGGGGTAGGATTTATGCAACAATGAACTTAGCATGTCCACCCAGTATTGTGGATGATCGAATTAAGCAGTTTACAGGTCAGCCATTGTCTCTATGCAGTGTAATAGACAGACATGAAAACCTGAGAACTTATTGTCAAGATTCGGAGATTTATATTGTGTTGAGAGATCCGAAAGAGAGCTTAGTTATGTGCATGTGAGGGGGCATACCAGTGAGGAAGTAGTCACCGTAAGGGTATTGCATCGTTTCCTATTTTGGGCTAGGGTGGAGGCGTGGAAACGGCGAGGGGAAGTGTGGAGAGCCTTTACCTCAAAAGTTCGCTTGATGGAGACGCAGTTGCTATGAGTTGATACATGTCGGATTGATTTGCATCCACGGATAGATTGGAGGCACCTCACCTGTGTTCAGTACCTTACTCAATAAGATGCAGCTGTAGCGTTACCGTTACGAGTAGTTGTCGGGGTGCCGAATGAATGGATGTGATCAGAGTTTGGAGTGTGGGCGGTATCTTAACCAGTGCCTTTTCGGTGTTGGTCGTTGAAAGGTGGCTGATCACAGTGAGGAGAATAGGATGACAGTGGAGAATTTGGCCAGTATCTTTGCGCCCAACATCCTGCGCCAGGCGGACTACGATCCGGATGTGGAGATGTCTGTCACGCCTGTCATAACACTCACCGTTGCTGGTTTCATCCGTCGTCATGAGGAGCTTTTTCGCTACAAACTGGCGCATTTTGCCCAGCTGCGCTGCGCTGCCCTTGCTTCCACTGTTGCTGGTGCGACCGGACCCGCTGGTGCCGCGATGCCTTTGGTGGTGCAAGGGCGGATGGGTGAGAGCTACTCTGAGCCGGCAGCAGAGAGTGCTGGTGGGTCGACCTCCTCCGTCCATTCCAGTCGCTGCAAATCGGGTGAGTTGGGTCGGATTGGGCTGAGTTGGACTGGGCTGGGTTGGAGTGGTGGCTGAGCTAGACGATGTTGTAAAGTTGAAGGTGCGTGGGAAGCGATGCACAATCTGAAGATGAGGTGAGTAAGAATACCGAATATACGTCAAATACTTTGTTTTTTGGTGAGCTGGTCTTTTGACTGTGCCAAAGACCTCATTTCTTTTTCCATTATATCTCAGTAAATATATTTAGCCAAGTAATGTAACACAAGGTCTTGGGACTTTGCATTGGTGGTCGCAGAAAATGTACATGGTTTTGAAAAGACTTACATCTCTAAAATTTCTCCGGTTTGTGGCAAACTTTGCCTTGCCTTCTTCAGGTCAGAGAATTTTCAATTTCTTTACAACAGACGGCTGAGAATGAAGTCTGTCATCGGCATTTGCTTACCGTGAACCTTCGGGTGAAGTTTCTTTATAAGATTACTCCACCGGGCGCGAAACCCTCTCCACACAAGACTCCGTCAAGACCCGCATTCTCTATTCCGATCCTATTTAAAACCTTTTTTCTAACAGCCAGCTTTAAACGCACGTGATAATTCCCAGAGCTCTTAGTATTTTAATTTTTTTTAAATCAAAACAAAATTCTACAGCGAGTTAGAACTGCTGAGAGGAGTCAGTTTCACTGAAAGTAAGCGCCTCCTTTTAGCTGCATGTGCGTTGTTGACTGGTGCGGTTGGTGTTTTCTTTCAGCACCACTTACGCTATGATGGCTGCTACGGGAGATTTATCGAGGGCAGCGTCGGAGACGTCACATAGCCGATGCGCTTATCGAACAATTAAAGGCAAGGTTCGTCATACCCAGCACTCCTACTGTTATGCGTGAACATGCAATTATGGTTTCGGTTCGACTCGACAGCTAAAATAAAATGGTGATTCTAATTGTGAAGTGATTTGCTTAGAAATGATGTAGACAAGGGTGAGTATTTTGTTTAAGTGAATTTATAGAACCAACACGGGAGGTGAGGCTTACGAAACCTCGCTTGAATTGTGGACATCAATAAAATCTACTATTATGTTCCTTCCAGAAAATAGCGCATAACCCAAGATGCTTTTCTTCGAACGGTGCGTGATAGAGGAAAGACTAGCTTTTAAAATGTGGACGATTGACATTTACGAAACTACGCTGAGGATATACAGACCTCGGAGAATATTTACTTTGTCCATGATTTACCTGGTATGGTTTGTAATATAAATGTATCAGGAAAATTCACTTTTCTCTGTTCGGTCAAATATTTATAACTGATGCCTGGAACAAATGAGGGATGAGTGACCTGGCCCAGAGGCCATGCCGACAATTAAGTGAGCATGTGAGAAGCTTAAAGGGCCTGTGAAACCAAAACGAGGGGTAAAATAAGCATGCAGTGTTACAACGTGGTGTTTTTAGGGCGAAAATTTACTCTTTGTAGTAAAACTACAACGAGCGTTTTGCTAGCATTTAATGTCCTACCGGTGGAAAGGCCTGACTCCTCAGTTCGTAAATTATTGATAGTTAAGAAAGGAAAACAACTTATTTGTCAGATTTCTGCACTCTGAAAGCGAGACATTAAATCTAACGCGTTTGTAATTTACAAATGTGGGCTAAGTGTAAGTGATTGAGGGTAGTAATGAAACTACTACCTGCTAGACCAATTCGATATATCAAAGTGTTTGCTTTCATGCTTGAAGGCAGAGTAAAATGTTTTTCGACAACTATGGTGAAATAACTAGCTAATGCCGTTTATTTTAAAACTGGTATATTCAAAACGTATACTAACGAATTTTCGTCCTTATGCTTTATTCCTCTTTGTTTCCTTCATAAGACTGTATGACACCAGACTTGGACCCTTCTCTACATGAATGCTGCAGTCGAAGCGCTAGCATTTGACCTGACCTCGTCGTTAAGGGATTCGCAAGGAGCTTCATTTAGAATTGAGAAGCACAAACGATGCATAACCTTATTTACACCTGCCTTGCCCTATCTTACTAAATGATGGTGACAAAATCGTGAAATAAGCTGTTGTTGAGAGAATCTGTGGCGTCGCCTAGCAGAGCGGTTGAAACCAAAGTCTGCTCATTTCTGAGTTTTGTAAAAAATCTAACAACAGTTTAACTTTAATGCAGTGGAATGATTTGATTTGCTAGTTTTGCACCTGTCTCCTGTGCCTGAATGGGAATGTCAATTGGGCAAACACGCAGCACCTCTCCCACCTCTCTATCAGTCGAAATGAATCCGTGTGGAAATGGCCAAGCAGCATTCGATCGGGATTAAGGTGCCAAAGAGGCAGAGAAGCTGATCATATGCATAGAACATCGTTTCAAATATCTGTTTTTAATAATTTGTACTGCATGCTATTCAGATTTCATGGTGTAAATGAGAAGCATGGCTGATGGTCTGTAAACTTTTCCTTCCATTGATTCACTTCCTAGAGAAGACAAAATTCTAACTCCAATAGAATTGTCAAGTAGAATCAGTGACACCGAAGTTGAACGTCAACCCAGGTACACTCGATTTCCATTGCTGAATGGGTGTTTCCCACAGCATTGACTAGGCTGAGATAATCTACTCAGCCCGCTTGGCAAGGAGACATAGTAAACTTGTAACACTTATTTGGCCTTTGTTCTACCAAACGACCACTTAGAACCCTGCATTAATAAATCCACTGCACGGCAAGGCCTCAAAGCCAATCGGTAGGCTCTCTGTTTTTCAAAGCCACAAACGCATATTCGGCCCAGTTTTATGCCTTAACTCATCTTCAAGGAAGTCTCGAGGTACTTCGCCTGCCTGAAATATGCACTTAATTAATAAAAAGAAACCACATTTTTACAACTTCGGTGTGGAAATTTGAGAATGTAGCTTGAACAACTTATAAAAATAAAGCGAAGCCCAATGTAATGTTTTATGTGATATCGCTTAAAATTCATTTTGAAGATTTATTTGCAAATTAATGCCAAAAATGAGGGTTGAATGTCGGCTTCCTAACAACTGAAAACCACGTATGCAAACATCGCGTGCAACCTCCATCTGCAATCACAAGGCTACCTCCTGCCTAACAACTCTCCATACTCCTACCACTCACTTCCACCTTCAATTCCACCCACCACTTTCATGCTTCCAATCACCACGATCACCTTTTACTCCAGTCAATAAGGAAGCCGTGAAGACGTCCAACTTGTCGGACATTGACTGACAACCAAGGAGGAGGAGGACGCTGTACCTCACCCTTGCCAGATTTGTTTTGCACCTACTCTGCGATGACACTAATGTGGAACGTGTCTCGACTGCAGGCATCACAGTTACTGATATAGCCAGGCACTCATCACATACCAATACAATTACTACTTTTGGGCAGTCCCCATGATCAAAGCCACCTTGGTAGAAAAAAATTGACACATTACCCACCAACCCCAACACGGTGAATTAGACCTCGATGGGGCACAACAGTGAGTGGACCGGGTTTCGGCCCAACTCCCCATCCACCCTACTGACCACCCACCCATTAAAGCTTACGCACTCTCGACCACCAAGTAAAGAGTGCGGACAGCGATACGCAAGGGGATCGTTCGGAGGTCAATTGACCGGACACTGCATCAGCAGCCATCGGTTGGTTGTGGTGCCTGATGCCACAAGGCGCGGCTTCCTTACAAGGGATTATCGAGGTCTCCGACTCGTGCACTTGGCACTGTCTCTTTGCCCAGTCGAGAATGAAAATGGTTTCTTGGTTAAGCAGGTGTGGAGGAAATGTGCGCACTCGTTGTGAAGAGGGCACAGCAAATTGTACTGAGGGTGAGCAGTGGAACTTCACGGTAGAACAACAGTGAGCTAAGGGAAATCCTGCTAGGATGTCGTATGCTGATGAAACCACCTGGAGGCGAATGGCAGACGGTGGGGATGGAGTTCAGTGGTTGGGAGAGCCGGGCATGGACGATTGACTGAACCAATCACTCACAAACTTGTGGTAGTTCTTCGTTCTCTTGAATGCTGCCAGTTGGTGTCTGAAAAGCGGAGGAGGAGAGGAAGAGGAAGAGGAAGGGAGGTGTTTCGTGGGATGAGGGGGCAGGATGAACGACATGGGTGAGGAGAGGGCTGAAGACCACTTCAAGACTGTGGAGGAGAGAAGGAGTAGGTGGAAAGGGTGAGGTTGTGTAGCTCGCAAAGTTATGGCGATGTGGAGTAAATTTCGCACAAACAAAAACTGGTGAAGCGTTCACTCCTCTCTGAGTGTCTCGCATAGACGATGAGGTAAGTGAAGCGCGAATGAGAACGACTGTCTTACAGATGAGTGGGAGGGAGGGGTGACAAGGGAAGCGGTTGATTCACCATTCTGCTATCATTAACATTTTCCGTGCTTTCTCTTGTTATCTTAATGCCCATCGAATAGAGTTCGGGAGTGTAAGAACAAAGGAGCAAAAATTAGATCCTTAAAATTCTGTTGAGAACTTTTTTGGTGATGTTCTACTGATACACATATGCAATTTATAATAAACATTCGATTAAGGTCCTGTTGGTGTACTTCTGGTGGGTGACGTGGTCTCGGGGCCATGCCATCTGTCGCTATCTTTTCCTTACTTCGGCAATGCGTATTTACCTATGGCATTGCGAATTGTTTAGCACTCAATCAAGCAGAGAAAATTAGATTAGCTCCTAATAGGGATCCGCCTCGAGTTTTATTGCTACATATTAAACAATATCTCGACAAGGGAAGAGCAAAAAGCTAGAAAATGATGTTCGACTTCAGCGCTTGCTATAGCTCCAAGTTTTCTGGAAACATCTTGAACAATTAAGGCGACACTGTCCGTAACCATGGCTTAGCTGGAAAGGTTTGGTACGAGGCTATTTACGGTATCTGTATAAATATGCAATTTAAGCAGCCAACTCCTGCTTCTACAATTCTCTATAGGATGGATAGAGGCCAAAAAAGCATATGACTAGGGAACACAAATGTTAAAAAAGTGTCAAGGAAATACTGACGCGGAACCTTATTGCTGTTGCTGTTAATTCCCGTACTTTGATAAATGGTTCTCCCTTAAGGCCAGCGTTTAACGACTAACGATGGGCATAAGTGATTGCGCTTTCGCTTCCCCTTAATACAGTTTTGAAACAAGATGCGGATTCATTTGCAGGTGGACAATTAAGAGTAATTTGTGAGAATGAGGTCAAATATTCTCTCGACTTTAGTGGATTTTGATGTTATCCTCACAATCTCAACCACGTTGCAGTAGGTGGCGCATTAGGTTTATCAAAGAGGATCCTAAGACGCTGCAAAAAAATTAAGAGTTTAAACGCCCCATTAATTGTTAGCTTAACTTTCCGTTTTCTTTGCTTTGTACTTTAGGCCGCGTCTTCTATGTCAGCTTGACGAAAAGGCCTCAGAACGTTGTCGGTAGTTCTTTAAGCTCAAACTGGAATTTGTTTTGAAGAATGTCGTTTTGACAGTGTATAAATGAGATTTACACAATGCATGATATATAGGACTTCCCAAGGGGGAACTAATGAGGATGCCAGCCCACTGCTTTGAACTATTCAACTTTCAGTGAGGACGATATGCAATTAACTAAGCAAAGCACTGTTCTGTACAGCAGGTAAAACTCTTTCAAAAGACATTAAGAATGATCTAACTGCTCCTATCGCGACGTGGAAACGCCCTCCATCAGCTTTTTACGAGAGGCTTTATCGCAATATCATTTTTTAGGGAGAGTATAGTCCGGACGTTATATAAGACAATAGGATGCCTTAGCAACACTACAGCATCCCTGTGTTAAAATATGGTCCTAAAATCACTGTTGTTGCGTAAAGTACTAAAGTGTTAGACAACCCAAAGGCCATAAAATTGAAAGCGTTGAAAGCGCGGATAATATAAATGAATGTTTTATTTGACTTCTTAAGAGTTATTGAAGTAGTTCTATTTAAGATAAAATTAGTATGCCAGTTCAAACAAAACAACACCATAATATCCCAAAAGGGATTGCACAGAGGGTTGCAACTAATGGAATCAAGGCAAGAGCAGTGAAGATTAAAGACTCGTGGGTCAGGTTTGTCCGCCAGCAGCTGTGGTAAGAATGGGTTAGGAGTGCGCTGTGAATCGACAATGTAGAGTGCTTATCGTGAGCTGTAACTTTCTAAACCTTCTGGATATCTATGGTCTGAGGACTCATGAATGTAAATGACATCCTCTTGAAAGGTTTTGGATGCGACCAAAGTCTAAGACGAAAGAGAAGCTTCGTTGTTCGAAATTATAACCACGTAAGAATGAGTTTGTCCGTCAACGACATCATCAGCAGCGTACTGATTAGGTGGGGATCACCTAAATGACTGTCATCCGATGGACAGTCAATATGGAAATAAACAAACGCCTAGGGGTATTTGGAAGGTTGACATCATTCTAACCCTTAAATGCAGCGTCCTTAAAGTGTTCTTCCCCTCTCCCTGGAGATAGATAAATATCCAACAGTTGGAGGATTTGTACCTTGACGCCTGAGACACAATCTAGCACCACGCCCTTTTGGAGCACAAACCACCTCCATTAGCAACTTCTGGATTAACCAATTACATAAGCAGGATGTCAGTAATGACATCGAAGGCAGGTTGCCACCTATTTCTTCTTGTAGCACCCCATAAATACCATCCTTCCATGTATATAGGAAATTAGTTTTTTTAATTTACTTACAAACACCTCTTAAACTGTGCCACCTTAAACTAATGTTTTAATGCTAATAATAATAAGAGACTTTTGCAGAGCAGTTAAACAGAGGAATGTCAATACTATTAAATAACATTTGATTGGAGTCTTAGGGTCTAACTGAGTTTTGGTGACAGTTGAATATCCAACATGCCATGATGTCCATTTTCACAGCACCATGTTTAAACCTATTCAGAGGGATGGAACATTAACCTACAAGTTGAGAGGTCATGGTGCAACATTCAGGTCTTCTGGCCATCTTGATTGCCTACGACCTAAAACGGCACTTGAGATTATTGTATTTTGGTGTACTGCATCCTAACTTCAATGGTGTTTGCCTGCAAAAGATCACCGGGAATTGTGCAGATTGACGTAAAGGAAGAAACAACAGAGTGGTCTAAAAGGATAGCAATTGAAAACGTCTGAGATGGTAAAGTTTATTCCCTTTGTGCTGCCAAAGGAGCCTTTAGTATCAACGAAAGTAGGCCACTACGAAACCTTTAAAATTTTCAGAAGAAAACAGACAACTCACATTTTGTTAGCACAGGCAATGCGTTGTAAGTGGGCTTAAAATTAGCCCGACAAACAGGGCACCGTTGGCATATACCAGCCTTTTGGTCTTGTAATTGCATTAAATGCAAGACTCAAATTTGCTTGTGAATCTAAAATAAATAATATTGTTGCACAACTTGTTAAGATGTGTTTGGTAAGAAGACTGTCACAATGAGTGCAGTTTTCACACGTCCAAAATTATACACAACCGAGTAAAATGAACGCTAACATCCGACAACACATTCATACGGTCGATTTTAAGCTTAAAAATGTTTTGCAGAGTGTCCAAAAGGCCCTCCGCTGGAGAGGGATTTAAGGCTTGGGATTCAAAAAATTAGGCGGAGAAGGTACGCCTCGGTCCCACTTATCAATGACAGCTGTTTAATAAAGAAGAGTTTTTTCTGATCACCTTCGCTGTACTCATTTATTAACTACGAATATAACGGATGTTGACATTAAAACACACACAAGGAACTCAACAGTCAAACGAAGAAAATCCCAATAATCAGAACAAGAGCGTACTTAAATGAACCAAGGCTGCTTTAAGAAGCCTTGAAGTTTGTGAAATCTTATTTCTTGAAGAAAAGTTTATCAAAGTCTCTCACAAAGAAGGTGAGCATTTCTAGGTTTGTTTCCCAACTACCAATTCACGATTTATGCCTCCTGACAGACTGTTCTTAGCGTGACTGCCTCCCCACAATAAAGCCGAAAATCCCGAAGTTTCGAGGTTATAAAAACCAGCTCTGCGATGAAAATGCTTGTGTCTACACACGCAGCAAAAAGCTCCTTGAAAAATGGAAGAAAAGTAGTCTCTTAGTCTAATATCAGTTGATGAAGTGTCTCCACAATGCAGCAGTATTAATTTGGCTTAAAGTGGAACTCGTTAAACATGGTTAACGTGGGCGCTTCAATCCGACAGAACTATTCAGCCTGCAACAGGAGGAAAACAAAAGTCGCATTACATTAAGGCGCTGTTGACACCGCTGGCATTTTTTCGGAGTAAATCACTTTCAGATTGCATCATATATGACTTCATACACAATATTTCACCATTAGATCCCTCTTATTTACGGTTTTCTTACCATACTAAAAATTATTGCACTTTCAAAGCTACCAGTTCAACAATATGTTAACCTTTTAGAGACGCTTTGTACACTCGCAAATAGAAAGGCTCCTTCATCTCATAACAAATAGTTGCCGGTACATGCTTTTCGGGTTGCATAGATTCGTGGTAGACCCAACCACCGCATGTTTAAAATGCAATAACTTTTCGAGATCCAAACAGACATGCTTGTAAAATAGGATAAAATATCCGATTACGTCGGTCTTCTTATTGTGGGCTAAGGCTTCTCTGAAGAGAAATTATGTAACACTTCGGTAGAATTTGCCCTTTCGGTCGAAGAAGGGCCGAGAAGCTACCTGAGTAATCCGGTGATTTAAACCCAAAAACTAACAATTCTCTAAAGGTATTAAATTTGCGTGTTAATTTTTTACCACTTGGAAGACACCTTCAAGGCAAAAATTATTGTCTTGGAAAACGTTCTTCTTTATACTCTTCAAAAATGGGCAACTTGGAGGATAAGTTGTTATCAGAGGCACTAAAACGACGATGGGCTAACCACCCTATGAGGTTGTTAGACTCTGATGGAGAATTCGAAATTGAAAGCATCCATGCCTCATGCTGCAGTGTCCCATACTGTTAATTCCAGCCCATTTGAATCTTATGCAAATAAGTGAGGAAGCAGTTTTTGTTTAAAATCCAAATACTGTTAAATGACAATGAAAATAGCTTTAGTAATCAGAAGAGCCATTAGGCTTCTTTACTCAAAGAACATGCTTATATGCTGCTTTGAGGGCGGTGTACCAAGAGAAAGTTGAGCTTTGGCAAATGAAACGCAGGTCTTTGATTTGGCCTTTACCACATACGAGATTGATTTTAGTGAAGAGCAAAGGTTGCCTTCTTCCGCCTAGGGTGTTCTCTTAGGACCAAAAGAATATGCA